ACCAGTACAATGAAAGGGTGAATGATGAACAAAGCCTTATAAGAGCTTTTCCATGGTATAGGATAGAAAAGAGTTATTAGAGAAATTCACACTGCGGATCTGTAAAGAATCTTTTCCCAAGCAGACGGATTCAAGGTCCTTATAGCTGTAAGACAGTCCCAGCCTGCATCAGTATCACCAGCACCACAGACAGCAACACAACAGCTGTCAGTGCAAAATCTAGAGCAAGAAACAAGCAGTTAATGCCCTTTCTGAAGATCTACACTCAGTTTGACACCCTGGGAGACGCCACTGGAGAAGGACCTGATACTCTCACTCCCCCATCGAACAAAAAAGAACATTTTCCTCTGGTCTAAAACAGAGACGAGGAATTTGCCAATTATAGGCAATAACTGACCTCTGTGGGAAAATAAAAGTCATTTTTCCCCTGAGAATGGACTTAAGGCAAAGTATCAGCTCAGTGAGACTGAATATCTAAACCACACAGCGGGCTCACAAAAACCAGGAGCAATGGGAGGAACAAAGCCTGTCCACAAAGGAGTCCACATGAGAGACTGAAGTCAGAGATAAGTTCACACATGACATGTATTTAAGTGCACGCCTGAACATGAACTGGAGACGATCATTCATGTTTTATTTCTTCTCGTTTAGATTACTGTAACAGAATTTTAACTTGTATGAATAATGTGACGGCAATTCTTGTTTTCAAATAAACACCTGAAGCAAGCACACAAAAAAACTCATGGGAATCCATTTATTAATTTTACAATTGCTTTATTTCTTTACAGATCGAAACACAACAAACAACAAGACAATGATCATTTAAATCATTTTATTAAGCCCATTGTAGAATAACAGCGTTACGTATCCTAAAAGTTAGAAGCACATTCAGGATAATTGTTTTAGTAAACCTGCGCTATGGGAATAACAAGCTCTCTGTCTAACACTCACAGACTGTGACTCACACACACTGATGTCGCTGCCAGAACTTCTTGTGAGTCATCCTCTAAATGGTGGAATCCATCATTCAGTTCAGTTGGTACCTGCACATACTGGCTCATAAAGGACTAACTATGGCTGTAGCAAGTATAGATCTAGACGGGATCACACAACATGCCAGGAGGAGAAAGGCTCCAATAATGATGAACAGTCTTCCATCCTCCTGCAGTCAGCCATCACTACATGTCCCCTCTTCCTGTAAGTCCTGTTTTTTCTCTTCGTGCAGCAGATCATTCAGATGTTAGATGAGTCATGTTGTCTGAGACATCTGAGACGTACTTACAACAATCTATTCCAATGAATCCAAGTTGCTCTTTCTGCCACCTTCACTGTTGTTTCTGTTGAGCAGTATCAGACAGCAGTTCTTTCTCCTGAAATCCTTCACCACAATCCTTTTCTGTTTCTGCCTTTGGGATGCAACTGCTGCTGCGTCCTGCTTAGATGCTGGAAATGCCTCTACTCATTTAGAAAACACAAATACCATGACGAGACAACATGTCCTTCCCCCATACGGTGTCAGTTCAATGAAATCCACCTGCAGATGATCAAAAGGGTTGTCTGGAGGTGGATGTGCCACCTGTGGACTCTGAATAGCCCTCCCCACATTGTTAGTTGCACAAGTTCTGCAACTTTGACAGAATATCTGGAGAACTTATAGAAACTCTTTGTGAACCGGCTGCTGTTTCCTTCCTGTGTAGTACTCCCTTCTGATACGTGGTCGTTACTCTGTCAACTGACGTGGAAATTGGATATTGCTGGTGAGGGACTGAGCAAATAATTGAGTTACAACAAACTGTTGTCTTTGAAGAATTTATTAATAAAAGAGAAGAAACAGAGAAGTACCACAACAGAAAATCAGCTGGTGCCTAGGGCAGCATGGGGCGTCTGGCCCTGAGCAAAGGGATGATTATCATTTACACAGTCTAGGTTTCTAAGTTTTGGGGAACAGAGATCCTCTCCAGGCCTTGAATGAAAGAGTATCAAAGATCACAGAACAGGTGTGGTCAGACAGAGGTTGTAAAAGTGATCAATTAAATGATATAAATGATATAAAATCAATAACTAAAACAAGACTATAAAACAAAGATGAAGAAGATTATTTGCCATCGTGTTACCTCACCTTTCCTTGGATAACAACTAATCGTTTGGGAAGTGAAGATGCTAATTGTGCCAGTTTTGTAATTGGAATTTTTGTTATTTCCTGCTTGGTACAAAATTTCAGCTGCTGAACCGTCTGTGGTCGCAACTGTCTGATTCTCCTCTTAATGATGCGCCATACATTTTAAATAGGAGACAGATCTGGACTGGCAGCAGGCCTTAAAAGAACACGCATCTGTGTGTACGAAGCCACGTTGTTGTAGCCCGTGCAGAATGAGGCCTGGCATTGTCCTGCTGAAATAAGCATGGATGTCCTGGAAAGAAACGTCGACTTGATGGCAACATATGTCTCTCTAAAATCCCAATTTATGCCTCTGTGTCAGTGGTACCTTCACACACATACAGCTCACCCATGCCATTGGCACTGATGCACCCCCTATGGAGGACTGATCCTGACAAATTCAGAAATAAATAAATACTCAAAAAATAAATAAGCCTCCGATTAAGCACAAAAAATAAAGTAGATAAATAAATGTAGGCAGTAATTAAATTATACAAGGAGACATAAATCTCTTTTAATTAGCTTCTTTACTTAGTCACCTTTGTAATAATTACCTTATTTATTTATTGTCCGTTATAATCTTCAACTTTATTTATTAGTTACTTCTTTTTAAAATGTATTTATTTATGTGTGTTTTAATATTTTTGTATTTTTTGTTCTTGCTTTGCATTTCTACCCTGTTTATTTCCACAATGGTTATATATTTCTGCCTCCAATTTTTACATTTCTTTGTGCATTTCTGCCTCATTACACAAATGAGGAGGGGCTGTGTCTCCAAAAATACCACCCAGTACCTTTCACTGAAATTTTGCCACAAAGGTGGGGCGCTCCAATGCATCCTTACTTGCAAAGCCTAAATCGGTTGATAGTTGTTTGTGGGCTCTTTTCTGTGGATTGCTATGGACTTGAGGGATAAATGGCTTGCGAAAAGGATTACATGGTCTAATATTACTGAATATGATTATGAGATTCTATGTTGTGAAAGATGCTATATGCTGTTGCTTAATGAGCTAAATGTATTGATGTATGTGTCGTTGATCTGAGGTTGCTTAATATACTTTCAGGTGAAATAAGTATGCAAGATAAAAAAATGAACTGAATCTGCAAGAAGAAAAAAGGATTAAATGACACAGCTGTTCAGTCATTAAGTGGAATCCAGTTAAAAAATCTTTGAGTAGACATTTTCTCTTTCAAGTGGGGAAGCTGCACATTAAGGATAACTTGACAATAACAGCTGATGTTTCAGTCCTGTATCTGGCTAGTTTCTTGCTGTAATTCATAGTATATCTGTGAAGAATTAGTATGAAGCTAATTTACTCTAGAGCTCTGCGGTGAAGACATGTGTGATGTTGACCTCATTAATAAACTAAATGTGACAGGAACACGTTCCTCAGTGAGGAAGATGAGAACATGTCCTGAAACTGTCCTCTGTTCATTTACCTGTCAGTCCAGTCTGATGAGCAGCATGAAGCAGCCCTGAATCACTAACTTACCTCAACACACGGTTAAAGACGTAGAGAGAGCTACAACCAGCTTCAACCGTCCAGTATGCTAAAAAGGAAAACCCACTGTTTAGAGTGTGAAAGCTGTTAGATGACAGCCTCAAAGTGCTGCAGAGTTTGTTCATCTGTCAGTTACCAGATGGTGTCTGTGGTCCCCTGCAGCAGCTTCTTGTTTTACTGTCGGCTTCTCAAACTTCTGACAGATGAAAGCAAGTAGAGTTAATCATCATAACTGTGTTCACTGTGCAGCTGATCAAGTCATTACTTTGAGCTTTTAGCAGTTCATCTTCCAGAAATGCAGTTTGTAGTTTCCAAAGTCTCCCCTGCAGAAAGCCAAGGTATTTAAAGAAGCAGTCTGACAGTTTGGGAAATCTGCTTGTTCTTGTTGGATCTCAGCTAATAATGAGCTAAAGGTTAAAAAGGGGAAACATACAGTAGACTTTACTAACCTCTACTGAAACATGTTGGTCTGATCTGTTGTGACTGTCCCTGTCACACTTTATCATTTCTGCCCCAAATTCTTATCTAAAAAAAGTCTGAAAACTTCAGAAAGTGCAGGATGCCTCCCTGGTAACAGCAGGTTGGGCTTTATGTTCATATAGACAATAGAGATTTGTCAACCAGCAGAGATTTTGTTGAACCTTCATTTGTCAACATTTAATTCACTGAGTTGCTCAAAGACAAACATTCACAGTTTGGTCTACAAACTCATTTTTATTGGATTTCCAGAAAATGTACAATTTCATAGAAACTGACATAAACTGTGGTTTAAGATTTTCTCCAGATTGCCAAGCACACAACAGCTGCTGCAAAACAGCTGCTCTGAATCCCATCCTAAACAGCAGCATGCCTACCACTAAAACAGCAGAAATTACACTTAAAAAGTACAAAGTGCTAAAGACGTGTTGAGATGCTCTCCCTGTGTTAAACATCCAAACAACAGTCCAAATAAAGATTTAGGAAGAAGACAGCGAGGTGGCTAGAATGAGCTCAGTTCATCTAAAATAATATCTGCTTTGCTTCTGGGATTAAAGGAGAATAATGACAGACATCAACTTCCAGCTCCAAACTAATAAAACACATTTTATTTCCATGTGTTGAAGCCGTCACAGCGAACCAGAGCAAGTTGACCAAAACATTTCCCAGCAGCCACTTCTCCCACAGCAGAGTCCAAACAGTGCTTCCTGTTCTCTACAGTTAGGTGTCTTATTGGAAATGGTCTCAGTAGATGACAGGATCTGTCTCGTCTCTATCCTTTCTATTGGCCTCCATTTCTCCTCCTGTTTCCTCCCCTTTCTCTCTCTCTCCCTCTTTCTCTGCCTACAGGAAGCTGACTGTGGAAATGTTGTCATCATTCATACTGATGGACTGCTGATATCATTGCTGTTCATTCTGCAGCAACACACAGAGGCCAAAAGCTTGTCTATGAACCCTTTCCTCATGAGGACATACAGGAACAAGTCTGCAAGAGGACTCAGCCTGAGGAAGATGATAGACAGGTTGTTGAGAATGAAGTTACATCTTTGTAGCAACAGGCAATCGTCATTGTACGCTTTAAGGAAGCAAATGATTCTGGGCAGGAACAGCAGCGTGTAAATAAGCAGCACCAGAACCAAAATTCCCACAATTCGTCGTTTTTCGTCAGAGGGGACCGAGGTGGAAGCAGACAGGGCTTTGAGGGTCCCAACCAGGAAGAAGATTAACAGAGGAAAGGGAAGGAGGAGGAGGATGGGGAAGAGTATGTATCTGATCATATCTACAGACAAATTTATAAGGAAGGCACAGACACCACAAAGAACCCAGACCAGGACACAGAGCACCACAGAGGTCTTGATGGTTCGTCTGAAGTGGTACCACAGTGGGTGGGCGATGACCAAATACCTGTAATACAAGATGGACACAAAGTCTTTGAGGAGCTTCAGAGTTATAAACTAATATAATGTTCAGACACAGAAGGAGCTCCACACATACTGGATAGACAAATACCTTTCCAGGGAGATGCAGACCATGAAGCAAATACTGGCCATCAGAGCAGAGAGGTAGATGTATCGGAATATAATCTTCGGATTCTCAGGTTTTGCCACCCGAATGATCATGTAGCAGAACTGAAGGACGTCGGTAATGAGAAGGTTGATGAGGTAGATGGGAGCAACATGATCACTTCTCACCTGCAGGAAAACATTGGTAAAAGTCAACAAGCAGTTGGAAACATGTTGTGAAGTCCACCTCCTCCCAAATCTGTCATCTTGCTCTGCACAGCAGCTGCTGTCAGAGCCATTTCTGACTTTTTCATCCAACAGAAATCTCAGATATGACCCACTGGCCAATCAGTGCAGGAACAAGACTAAGGGCCAGATTTCCTGCAGCTTCTGCAGCAGTTTTTCAGCCACAGATATGAAGCATTCTGGCTCAAACACATGAGCTGGATTTATCAGACAGACGCACCAGACTGGTGTTGCAGTTTGAGCCTCATGTTTGTGTTTGCAAGGTGAGCCTCTCTCCTCCTTGAATCAGAATTTCAGGGAGGATCGCACAAATAAGAACTGGAGGCAACGAACTTGATAGAGTCATTAAGCTCAACAGTTTAAGAGGCTGGAATGGAGCCACACATGGAAACTGCATGTGTTTAGGGTCCAATCAGCTTCATGGACATTTGAATTCTGGAGTCAATTATTCCTGTCAGTTTATAGATCATTCCAAGCCTTTGTCCCAGCCCCCAAACCAGATCCAGATCCTTTACAGACAGATAGACTGTAGGACAGACACACCACACAGACAGGAAATAAACTAGAACTGCAAGCAGTTGTAAGCGGGGTCCAAGCCTCCAAGCACAAGCCGCCCCCCCAGGCCCCGCGGAGGGTGCGTGAGTCGGCTCGGGCGCCTCGCCATCGTGCCGCATAAGGTCCCCACGTTTGGTGTTGATGGGCCATTCCAAACAGAGGCAAAACGTCGTGCCTTTGAAAATGCCATAAGAATTAATGGGATTTAGTGAGAGATTTCAGCTGTGTTGTTAGCGCCACCTGTTGGCAGAATTGCAACAAAATTTTCAGGTGTGATCAGGGCCCCATAGGGAACAATTGCCCCAAATTTGGTATCAATCGGAGTTGTGGTTGTGCAGATGTAAAATGCATGGAAGTCTATGGGATTTTTTCGAATAGTGCCAACTAGGGGCTAACTGTACCAAATTTTGCACAGCCCCTCAGGGGGGGAATGCACACAAGGTCCTCAAGTTTTGTGTTGATCTGCCATTCCAAAGCGAAGATATGTCACACTTGCTGTTTTTAGTGTTTTCGCGAGCTTGTAATTGAAAAAATTCCCTCTACAAACTTTCTTTGGCTCGGTCCAGAGATGGTCCGTGCCAAGTTTTAGTGTCGATTGGACTTGCGGCTTCGGAGGAATTAATTAAAATAGGGTTTTCTAGTCTAGTCAGAAATGGGCGTGGCATTTACCACAAGATTCAGCTCGATCCTTCGAACGCGTGGATATAAGGTTTTTGATATCCGCCACTCTATGCGGGAGTTAAAGCGATTTGAATGTGCCAAACTTTGGCACAGACCTTGCTTGTAGCGCCCCCTAGTGGTTGAAGTCGGCAATTTTTTTCGCATGCCGTTGTCTCATGGGCCTGAACCTACCCTGTGAGTTTCGCGTCCCTAGCCCTTACGGTCTGGGCTGCAGTTGTGGAATTAGGCAAAAATTCACGGAAGAATGAAAGTAATAAAAATCTGAGCGATTACAATAGGGTTCCCAGCTCTGCTGGTACTGGGAACCGCAATGCCTTGCATTCGCGGGTTCCCAGCCCCATTTGGCCTTGGACCCATAACTCTCAGAATGTACATACCATAGAATAAAGAGAATAGATGGCCACCATGGTCAGAGGAAGGCCGACAGCAATGATTATGCATGTCACCACCTATATCACGTTGGGCTCAAAGTAGTTGGAGGTGATGTTGTTGTAATCCTGGTAGTTGGAGGTGGTGTAGTTGTGATCGTATCTTTGGTCCTGTGAGCTGCTGTTAATGTAGAGACCTTCCATTCTTCAGAGTGAAACCTGTTTGAGAGATCAGGTTATTAAAGGGAGCAGGTTTTTAATATCTACCTAACATTGTTCAGTGACATCACTAAAGCTGTGAGGTGAAGTTCACACAAACACAGTGTACCTATAGTTTACCCACAATCATATCAAATCACAAACTGCTGTCTTTCACTTTCTATCATCATTCCTCAACATTTGTTACATTTAACTTTTATTTAATCAAATAAGAAAAGAAGAACAAATATCTGTACGTGCTGATGTGAGGTCGTTACTGCAGCCACAGAACATCGTCCAGCTGTTTCAGTAATTAATGTTTAATGTTAATGCTCATTGGTTTAGGACATCCTGCCTGTCTCCTGTACTCGATGCCCCACCACTTTGAGCATATTTCATAGTCACTTTTGCATTATTTACAGTTTCACACTTCAACAACTTGTCCACATTGTGTGCTGTGTCTTCAATAAATGGACGTACAAGTGCACTTTGATAACCAACTTTAAGCTCCTTTGTCATTGAAGCCATCTAGTGCTACTTTCCGTCAAGTTAATCAACAGTCTTTAGCTATGTGGTGATGTGTGCCTCAATAAACGCTACGTGCCAGAATGCTGCATCACAGCAGGTTCAACACATCAGCCAACTTCATGACAGGACTCTCCATTAGCCTTTCCAGTTGTTCAAGCCACAAGATGGACAACAATTTATTACTTAACAGCAGATTGCTGCACCAGCAGATGATTTTTTTGTTACCAGGTCAGTAGCTGGTGTCTCTGGCTTAAGCACAAAAGAGTCGCCTTCTAGCTTAGCTAAAGCACGGGATAAATTGTTCGATGCACGTGCCTGCACAGCCTTCGTTCAGAAAGAAAACCATCTATTATAAGAAAAACATCAGATGGACGCTGCTCAGAGGTCTCTTCTACTTCTGACTCTGACACCACAGAGACTCCCAGCCCTAGGCCAGATGTTGGTAGCCAATGCCCTATCCACAGAAAGCCTCACCCCTTTAAATACTGTAGAGCAGGGGTATTCAATTAGAATTCAAAAATGTCCAGTTAGAGAAAATTTCCCGAAGCAAAGGTCCGGAACATCATAACAACTAACTTCATTTAGGGCGGCCCATAACGTATAGTTGTATCAACATATACTGTATGTTTTTAGTCAACAACTGACAATATTTCAACAATATTCAGTTTCATATCAAACCGGAGGGATAATAAATACTAACTATTCTAATAATATATTTTAAACTATGTAAAGTGCCTAATTTTTTTGAAATAATGAAATAAAGTGTAGCTTGAAGTGTTGGAAGTCCAATTTTATGATAAACGCTCGACACATCTTAACATGAACAGCTGTAATGCCTCCTCTTCTCTTTCATTCCCTCTTACAAAGCTACCACTTCCCTACTTTCTCTTGTTCAGTCAGAAACATGAGTTCTAGTTTGTACTGCCAGCTAGCATTGGAGATCTGAGATATTCTGGTTTTGTAACTGCCTGTGGGAAGAATGTACATCTGTACATTCTTGATTAAAAGTACAGTAAATGCTAGAAAAGCTGTGCGGGTTAAAGTAGAAATGCTCCGTCACGAGGCAGGTAGGTCTCAATAATAAATCGGCTGTAGGTTGGCGGTCCGGAGAGGACGGCGGCTAGGTATGGATCCAGACCGCGGTCCGCCTATTAGCAGGCACGTGCACACATAGACACTTTTTTCTGGGATGCTTGTTATTGTTTTTTAATAAATTAATATACAGTATGTTTATTCCTGTTTGTAACAGATTCCCTGTCTAACAAATATATTTATTGGGAAAAAAATCTAAGTAGGCTATCAGGTCAGAAGATGAGACTTTGGAGTTTCCGATGCGTGCGCGTTCTCTCTCAATTCAAATTAGATTTATCGGCATGAATGTAACAACAATATTACCAAAGTATCATACATACAACATAAGAACAATCAACCCCATACATTTCATTAAACAAGTAATTAAATTAAATAAATAAATAAAACAGTAAGCATGTGTGTGTGTGTGTGTGTGTGTGTGTGTGTGTTAAAAAATAACAAAATAAAATAAATAAATGAAACAGTAACATGTGTGTATATATTAATAGACAAAAACTTTTTTTAAATAATTAATTGATTAAAAAATAATTTTAAAAAGCTGCAAGCAGCGTTGGGCGGGCCCTCGCACTTGTAGCGCGTCCGCGTGTGAGCCGGCCGAGTTGCATATTCTGGAGCTCTGCCGGTGCGGCTGTGAATTTCCTACGCGGTTCCGACGGCGCATGAAGGTGCTATATGTCACTTCCTGTGTCCCCTATGTGGAGCTACATAGCACTTGCCGCTATGAATATAAATCGGTATTGGTGTGTAGATGTCTGCGGGGTGAGAGAGTTATCAAGCACGTAAAGTTTGTTTCAGATGTGAGCATGTACACTGAAGTTACAACAACTTCCTGTGTTGTGGCGAAGAGTTGATCTTTGACGCCACGGACACGCCCATTGACGAAAACTCACAGATAGCACAACTTTTTATCTTCAATGCCTTTAGAAGGCACAGCACAAATTTGAAGTCGGTCGGACTAAATCCCTAGGAGGAGTTCATTAAAGTACGGAGTGTGTAAATCATCCAAAATTTGACGTAAAATTCAAAATGGCCGACTTCCTGTTGGTTTTAGGGCATCGCTCCAAGAGGCTTTTTGGTGCGTCTGGACAAGATACACGTACCACAGAAAATTTGTCAGCATGTACATGTGTTCAGGGCGGGACTCTCATCCTACATGTACAGTTTGGTGCAGATGTGAGCATGTACACTGAAGTTACAACAACTTTCTGTGTCATGGCGAAGAGTTGATCTTTGA